ACCCAAGTGACAGAAGCTGAATAAGAAAATTACCTTTCATTACAAATTACAAATACCCACCCAAAATTGAAATCAAAGACAACAGAGTAAAAAAAGGATGAGGAAAATTGGATATGATTACTCTGTCCTTGATAGTTGCAGCTACTTTCCCTGACATTGTTGTTTCCTGCTTTTGAAAAGTCAGATCCTTTTTCATTTAGGTCAGTCAAAAGTTAACTGCACCATTAAGGCAGCAGAACATGTTGTGATAAAAGAAGTGCATCACTGGCAGCTTCTATAATTGCTTCTTCCACATCATTCTATGCAGTAAGTCCAATGCTGCCATTTGGCCTTTCAATGAAGCAGGAGCAGCCTCCATTTCGACCCCTCGCCATACAACCTCATACTCTGACTTTTATCCTTGTTTCTTTCCCTACATTACTAATTTTAGAGACACCTACTATATGTGTGGATGTCGAAGTCATCCTGTGACATTCAGACAGGAATACCAGTAAATCTCAATCAACAAGTCTTGCAGTACCACAGCGGTACTGTCTACCCATCACTGTGGGAACGTTTCACATTAAGCTGCTCAAACTCCTCCAATCCAAATGAAGGGAGGAAGAGAGAAGTCAGTGGTCTGTCAAAACAGCATGAGAATGAAAGCTCCCTGTAAAATCCATCTAGTTGCTTTGGCTTTGGATGTATAACGGCAACTAAAAGGGTGAATTTATTTGGGGTTGTTTGGGCATATATTCCATTCCATCTTTCCACACTCAAATAACCTTGATTTTTTTTCCTCCCAAGTGCATTCTTGAAAGTCCACAACAGAGAAATCAATCTGGCATCATAATTGCAGGTAATGAGAGCCATTTAGTTGACCCTCAATCTGATATGTTCCCTTGTTGATGCAGCATTATGGCCAAGGGTCAGAGTGAGCAATTTACCTTATCGCTCTTTGATTAACATAATGACACTTTAAGACCACCTGCTGCTGACAGAGACGCGATCATCTGACACTTGTCCCATTTTCCCACAAATCTCTACGTTCATTTAAGACTTTATTTAAATAATTTAAGACTGAGCTTATAGGACACTCGACAAATCCGACATTTTGGCATAATTTGTGTGCGTGTTTGTTCAAGCCCAAAAGAGAACTCTGTACTGACGCGCGTCTTTTCTATTTTTGTGTGTATAATAGGCAGGACTTACAGCGAGGTCACTATAGTCTTAAAAGCATTCACATTAATAAGAGCGTGATCATACAACGCTAAGAAAAATGTAACAGAAAAAAACAGATGCGTAATTGTGTTAAATGTATATATATATATAATTTTTTTTTTTTTTGTGGTGCTGCAGACCCGCGGTGGGAAAGTGATGAAACTGGTGTTGCGACTGAACACCGACTAGCAAGAAAGCCTACTGGAGACAGATGGGGGAGCTGAACGTTTAGCCCAGGACAATGCCCAGAATGTCACCCAACACATTTGAACACCTGCTCTGGCAACTGCACCTACTCTGCTGAATTGGGAGGTCTATGACTCAACTAAAGCAACTTGCATAAGCTGCAATAAAAGAAAATATTTTTTATAACATTTGAGATTGAGCTTGCCGTCCACATACGCATGGCACAATTACCATACAATGACTCATTCGTCACTCTCTAGGGCAGCTGAGCTTTCAATAAGACAATTTATTCTGGTTTAAGGAACATTACAGAGCAACTCTGAAGACTGTGACACACACTTTATGATGTAATTCAAGTTTAACACAAAAGAGACCAATCAGAACATTACTGAAGATGCAGGTCTCTATTCTACTCAGCCAGCAAAGTTAACTAGCCTCTTCCTAAGTTGCCAATTCACCTTTATAGCAATACCATCTAGGGGTCTGCAAAGGCAAACTGATGTTCAACACCTCCATATCGTCTTCCTTCCCCTATACATTCAGCCATAATGGCATGGGAAAGGTTAACCATTTGTCATAATCATTTTGTCTTGAGAAGAGAGATTAAAAGCCATTAAACTGACCACTTACAATGTAAAATGTAATGTTACAAAAAAATTGGGTAAAAAAAATAAATCCTGAAACTGGAAAGTGTATACTCAAAAAGCTGGATTTAAAAGTATAACCTCCACTTCCTTTCTTCCTCTCACCTCGGTTTTCTTTATCGGGTAGATGCAGCTTATTTTAAACTCTGGCACAAAAACAAACTGGTTATGAAAACATGTTCAAATGTTCTTGGAAATGATGCCTGCCTCAATGCCCTCTTTTTGTGGTGTTATTGTGACACCTACTGGTTAATACAGATCCTTAACAACAGAGTATTTTTTCAAAAAGAAAAATACAAAATGTATCAAAATAATAACGACAGCCCTCCTTTCCAAACACATAGCTGCCAAATAACTTTTGAAAATATAAAAGGAATGGTGATTTTTGTGACAATGAAATTAAAATGCACCCTGTGGACGCATTTCTTTTAAACAAGTAAAAAGACCAATTCATTCTTAAATCTCATTCAAGCTAGTTCTGATTGATAAACAATAATATTATTGATAAACAATAGATTATCTCTTTCCATTACAAAACAAGGCATAAATACTGGTCTCTGTATAGTAGAAATATGCATGTTTCATTCAGTGCTACGCAGGGTAAAAACGACAATAAACTCAACTCATGAAGGACAAACCCATAATTTTTTTTATTAAAAGTGTCCACTACCCCCTATTTGTGAAGTTTTTTAGCAGTAGGCCTACTCAAAAAAGTGCTCTCACATTGAAGATTAAGTAATTATATGACCTTCTTACAAAAAAGTAAAAAATATATAGTTTGTTTGAAGTCCAGGCTATGCATGATAATGAAGGTTTGTGAAGTATATGCTGACTGTATTCCAATTTCCATTCTTCACATGCGGTCAATGGTCACTAAAACTTTCAGCAGACTAAATCCTACTAATTACATTAAAAGGGTCAGAAACAACAGAAGAAGGACAACGCAGTCTCTTCCGGTCGAACTCGAGAGACATGGGGAGATAACAAGAGCACGACTAGTAAAAGACCAATTTAGTTTCAAACCAGTCCAATGCTGGATTTAAAAGTCAGCCTGTGGACCACCTGCAGTCTGAACTGTTCATTACAAGTTCATCTGTATAAAAAAATAAATAAATAAATAAAAACAATTGGGGTAAAACTACAGAATGACCTTGAACAGTCATAGCATTCCACAGATTCTGACAATAGACCTCATTCTGATGAAAATGCACTTATGCTTTGCACTCTCTGACTCAGTAAGGGTGTGTTGATGGAAACATCTCAAGACTCTGTTAAGGTTTCACACTGACTGCGCTTAACCCTGGGTTATCGACATTCTTAATATCACTGTAACCCCCGGGAAAGGAACATTTCACACTTGTAATTTAGAAGTGGGGTTAGCACTTAGCAACATTTTTTTACCCCAGGTTATGAAACCCTGCTCCGGAAGGTTATCACCGCTTTAGAAGTGTTAACCCCACATTGCAGTGCCAAACTTGCACACTGAGAAACAATGCTGTGTTAAAATGTTAAAACTAGACGCTTAACAGACAACCAATTGCATACATAAAATTAAATTGCATACACTAAATTATGAGAAGTGTGAAAAGTGAAGCAATAGGCTATATCCCCGGATTCAGTTTACCCAGGGTTTAGAATGAACCAGGGTTAACTATTTCAATTGTGAAAAGCCCTTTTGACAAAAACCACACATGCATTTAGAATAAAACAAAGCCCCTATTTTTTAAACAGATAAACAGTTTATGTGGAAAGAAACCAAATTACAGTCCCCATCCATGTTTTGTACATTCTTCAAAAGAGAAGACCCTCAACCAAGAAAAATATGACTGCAAGAATTGCTGCATTTAGCAGCCATAACAACTAACAATCTACAAAACATATTCCAACAAAGAATACAACAATTTAATACCGACAACTTTTCATTTCAAAAATATGTTGTCTTCTTACAAAAAGTATACCAAAGTTTGAGGTAAGATTTTTCTAAATTGAGAGTAAAGAAATGTAAAGTCATTTAAAATAAATGCTGTTCTTTTGATATTTCTGCTCATTAAAAATACTAAGCAGCACAACCATTTTCAGTGTTGATAACAATAAGACATGTTTCACTGAGCACCAAATTAGAATATTAGAATTCTGAAGAATCAAGTATTATCTCACTGTATTACGCATAAAATTCAGCTTTGACATCACAGAATAAATTATACATTAAAACGTATTAAAATAAAAGTCATTATGAATTGTAATGATATTTCACAATATTAAGTTTGTTTTTTGATCAAATAAAATGTAGAATAAGGTGATTTTTCAAAAAAATCTTAAATATCCCAAACTATAGCTGCCTTGATATTTTACGAAAATATTTGGGGGTTCTTGTTCTTGGCATTAACATGTTTGAAAACACCTGACCTAAACAAAGACTATAGAATAATACCTAAACAACATGGTGATATATACAGAAGTCAAGGAAGCATATTATTTAACAGTGGCAGGATCTCTCTCTCTCTGTCTCACTCATGTTTCAGAAAAAAATACTGTTCCTACACCAGCAGCACTAAACCAAGACTGGATTATTCTGTCTTATCCCCGAGCTAATTTTATCCTTTGATTTAGCACTGGCAGTCAACAACTAAGTTAATGGCATTGAACAAGAGGTTCAATGTGTGTGGGTGTGTTTTTATCCACTTGTCTCTTGGCTGTCTGTTAAAATAATACAAAAAAAATTGCTGTTGCTTAAAATTTAAATCCATCTAAAAACACAATCATACTGCAGTCAACATGAAGCATCTTCATTTTGCATTGACAACATGTTTTGTAGACTGTTTTATCCCACTAAATTGCTCAAGAACGAGTCACTTACCAGTGATTCCATTCATGAACAGGGTGGGGACATTATGATTTAGTAGAATAATAATCAGATATGAGGACAGAAACACGTTTAAATGACAGAGGTTATTAAAAGGTGTTACTTACGAATTTAGGCTTCTTCTCTCCGTCATCCCCACTTGAACTGCCATGGGATGACACTACGACTCCAAATCCTTTCTTTCGGTGTACTTTATTCTCCCTCCCTTGATTCGAACCTTCAAATCGTGGATGGCGGTAGTTATCCATATCTAGATGAAGATCTAAAAACAAATCTACGAAGTTTGCTGATTTAATGCAAAACTAAGGGCTCATGATATTCCCAAAGTTGACCGTTGAAAGTGACAAGCGCGAGCACGGATTAAAACTTGAAGTTCGCAAGCGAACAGGCACGAGACCCGTTGACAGTAATGTTGGTTGTTTTCTAATAAAGCGGCTAACGACGGTAATCCAATTGCCAATCCTTTAGGTCTTACTAACACCCCGTTTAACAGCCCTAAGTTAGCGTAAGAGCCTAAAATACACTCCGGTGCTACAAAATAGCCAATTTAAAAAAAAAAAAAGTGTATAGGTTCTTGTATATCCAAGTTGGAACAAACTTCAGCTCGTTTTGAAATACATAGAAGGAGATCCCGAATGTCAGCAATCTGAAACTCCCGCTTCAGAATCAGCCAATGAACTGCGTCGAATTGAGCAACACGTGATGCGCTGATGTAAGCTTCCGCATTTGGTCACACCCACAGTTAACATCCGGGCTCTTCCGGACATATTTTCTTACTTTTTTTACTCCAACCAGAACTTTTTATTTGATGTAAAACATAAATGTTGTTTCCGATGTGAAATTTTTATGTTTTTCTGTACTAGAGACAAAACAAATGACTAAAATATGATTTTAAAAATATTTACTTATTGTTAAATTTACTGACCAGTAGGCCAGCGTATGTTTTAACCTATTTTTTACAGTCTATGGTTGTAACCAAAACCATTTTACCCAATAATTTTAATTTCTACATTGTAATCGGTGTCGCTTGATGACGTGGCAGACGAGGTATGCATGCAGCCTTGTCCTCACTGCGGAACATAAAATCCATGGGGAGGAGTCGGATCCAGATCCAACTCCTCCCACATTACGTACACCTAAACCTAACCAACTCCGCCCCCTGATCCCTAAACCCACCCCTAATCCCTAAACCGAACCCTTTCCTACCCATCTCCACCCCTTGGATCGTGATCCGACTCCTCCCCGTGGATCTCATGTTCTGCATTGAGGCGCTATTTTTTTACAGTCTATGGGTGCTACTGGCCTTGCCACTGCCTTCCATGAGAAGCACCCAATGAAGTTCCAGTAGGTGTCAGTGAAGAGTTGATTATCTAGCTTTTAACTTAGTTAATAGAAAGCAACTTTCACTCGCTTTCACCCCACCTTCAAACTCTCCAGCTTTATATTAAAAAGGACACTTTCCTGCCCAGTTTTAAGATTACACCAACAGTTCTCAACCTTTCTAACTCCAAAGTCATAAAGGTTCAGGCCCTATATATATATATATAGGGCCTGAACCTTTATGACTTCGGAGATATATATATATATATATATATATATATATATATATATATATATATATATATATGAAGAGTTCAGATGCAAAAGCCTCTAAGTGCCATTTGAAATTTTCTTCTAGAATGATCATTTTTTTATCAAGCTTGTATATTTAAGATAAGTAATTTCACTTAAATGGCAGTGAAGAAGATTACCTATAAATTGTCATTTAAGTGAAATTACTGAACTTAAATATACAAGTGTGATAAAAATTATCATTCTAGAAGAAAATTTCAAATGGCACTTAGAGTTTTTTCCATCTGAACTCTTCATATATAGGGCCTGAAACACCCGACCACCTGCCAAATGCGGGTGAATTTTGCTATTGGCAGGTTAGGTAACAATCATAGACTGTAAAAAAAAATAGGTAACAATGTACCTGCCACATGAGAATTGAGTGATTAATTGGGATTTTTACATTTCAACGAAGGCCGCCATTGCGTTGGACTTTAGTTAAAATGTGGCGGCACATTACTGGGATAAAGAGGCCAGCTGAAACAACCAACAGAAAGATGAGGATGAGAAAAAGAAAAGTAAAAGACCTTTTAATACAAAGTGGACAATTGACGACAATGGCAAGGTTCATGAGCAGCTGATTTATGACAGTGCCTGTTGTTTCGTAACGGTCATGCGATCAGAAAGAAGATGAGGCCCTTTTCTGACTACGTTTGGATGTGCGAGAATTAAACTGTTGGTGAGATGGGATGAGATAATGTAACGCAGTAGGCTACACTACAATAACAGTTGCACAGAGTCAGGCGTGTGTGCAACTGTGCATGCTGGGAGTTGGGAACCGGTGAGCCTGGGTCAGGTCAGTTTGAGTTTTATTTAATGGAATTTGTTTACAGTAAAGAATACACAACAACATTCTTTTGATTTAATAAACTTTATTTAAACTTTCGTTTGGAGTTAAGAAGTGAGCACACTCTTTAATGTTCAGTTTAAGTTTATTCTTACCGTTCTTATTGTTTGTTTGATACATACGTCTCGTCGAGTCCCGTGACCTGGTGCACCATCAAAAGAGGTTTGAGTTGAAACATTGGACGTATATATAGGGTTCCGGCGGCTCCGGCCGATGATTGGGCCACAACCATTCCGGTTTCTTCTCCGGGGGAACTCCAAAGACTATTTTGCTTGCTTTTCTTTTGGTTGTTAAGAAGTATATTTATTAAGTGAAGTCATTTGATAGTATTATTTGAGGTGTTTATGTTTATTGTGTGTAATGCCCATTATATGTCTGTGTATCCCCCTTTATGTGTTAATTGGTGCTGGCCACCAAGAACAGGTTCTGTAAGCCCTTGATCTCTGTAAATTTTTGAGAGGCAAATGCAGTGACCCATCGTTATTCTATGTTTTTTTATTTTTTTATTTTTATTATTATTATTATTATTTTTTGCTATGTTTGGTTAACCACCATTGGGTTAGCATTGGCTTTACTTTTGTAACCCCATCCTGTGGAAATAAACCCCAACTGCTGCCTCCGTATTTTTTATCCTTTACTAGTCACATCTATCACAGTGACTAAATCAGCTGTCAACACAGCCGTGTGTGATTTGTTTACATACGAGCTGCGGTGTGTGTCTATCTGTTGAGTATAGACATATCATCAATTAATAAAAAATGTATGTTCTTAGAGTTAGTGGGGGGGGGGGGGTCGCCTTTATGAGGCAAAAAAAAAATACTATTTCTCTTGTTTGCTTAAAGGTCTAAAATATATATTTTTATTTGTATGTATATCATATTAATAATATAACTAATGTCTACCATATGATAACCTAATAACATACAGTCTATTGCATTGATCCCCATATAAAATAGTATATGAAAAAACAAGACTGCACTCCCATGAACAGCACATTTATTCACCATTCAGCAGATAGCTTTCTATCTCTGTACAAGCAATATAGATTCTGTTAGCATATACTCTTTCTATAGTACAATAATCATTTACACAAATATACACAATTTAAAATATAAACCTGTTCAAAAGTACAACACATACTGTTTTTTATAACATTTCATTGAGGCAGTCCACACAATCTATTTTCTATGATGGGTGGACAGCACAGGCAACAGTAAGCTCAATCAGCACAAACCGAAAACGGTGACATGGAAGAGGATTTCTTCAGGACGACCTACAGTACAGGTGGGCTGGATAAGACTCTTTGGATCATGCACTATCAGGCCTTTCTCGATGCACTGACCATGATTGTCGGTTTTTGAAGTTCATTGCTCTGATACAGTAATGTTTGTTCCTAACACCATGTTGTTATTGTTTGTTTGTATGGCACATTTAAAAACAGTCTCGGATCATGTGCACTTGAATATATCCTTTGTGCAAAACAAATATTTCCTCCACACCGAACCCAAGTGCATAATGTAGTGATCAAATAAAAGTGTGTGAGCGCACCCTCATTCGATCACATTCACACACACACACACACCATAAGACAACATGCTTGTACGCATGCACGTTTACATTTCTGCCTCTCTCTCTCTCACACACGCTCTCTCTCTCTCTCTCTCACTCATGCACACATAGTCCAGCAAAATCATTCTAGACCTGGGAAATAATCTGCATATTAAAACTGGATGATCGAGACTGTTTGGACAGTGGGCTTCCAGAGGAGAACGGACTCCCGGGGGAAAGGAGATCCTGGCTCCGCGACGCTTGCCCAAGACGTTCCTCTTGCAAACTGATGGCTGACAGATAGTGAGCCCTGTCTGCGCTGAGGCTTCCCAGCGACAGGCTATCTGTGGGTCCCGATGAGCCGTTGAGGCCAGTACAGTCAAGAGACTTGCTTGAAGACGTGCTACTGGTTTTGGGTGGCGCACCAGCAAAGGGAGAGATGTAATGCGGGTCCAGAAAGCGTCGAGTGGTGCTGGGACTCGGGCTGCGGCTGCTCTCGGCGGTTCGGAGGCTGACGGCAGGGGGAGGGGACTGGTGCTGTTGGTGAAGGCTTCGGAGCGCCGCTCTGGTGTCGGCCGACGCGCTCTCCCTCAGCCTGGCTCCCGGATCTCGTGAAGGTCGAACGCCAGTTAGGACCCAGTCACGTTTCACGCTGCTGGGCTGGCTGCTGCTGGAAGCCCCAGAGGAAAACCCTTCATCTGGGTCAAAAGAGTCCTCTCCGCAGCTCACGCCGTCGGCATCTAATACACAGCAAGGGGAAAATGAGGCAGAGAAAACAGAATGTTGGATTTTGAATATCTTGGAGGAAATACTAGCGCTTGCAAGGCAGCAAACGAATAGGGTTAGGTGAGCTTAGAGGTATAAGCTCTGGCTTTTGGATCCATCTCCGTGAAATGCTGCATCTTGTGTTAATTCTCCTACACAGGCTCACAGCCAGCAGAAAACAACATGGCACCGTCTTTGAAGTGTCAAGCTCCAATTACACCAGCTTCATTCGCTCCATTCACTTATATTCATACCGACGTGTAACGAATGGACTTAATCAAAATGCTCTAGACGTCATAAAACCTTCCCCCTCTCCCCTGTTGTCATCAGCCCTCAAACCAGTTCTCTTCAAAGACCGTTATCATCTCTGCTCCCCTGAACCATCTCAGCAAGAGACTGTGTCTGCAATCCTCAAAGACAGCATAGGAGACCAGACGGCACTACCCATTTGGTCAAAGACTATAGAGATAAACTTCCAATACACAAGGACATTGAATTACCCACAAACTTTCCCAAATGTTAATAGTATTTCTCCTGTGTTTTATATATGTCCCTATGTTTTATTAGGCTAGTTATGATTCTTTAGTTGTTAGAATGACTTCAAATGTTGAATTCCAAAGATGATGTCAACAGAATCCCCTTTTGTTTTTAAATCAATGGTGAACAATATGTTATGATTCATTGCATCATAGTAATTTTACCATACTTTTGTGTCAAGACTGCACAATTTCTCCATGCCACCATGAACATGTAAATGGAGATAAAAGGGAACGAAGACTTTCTCCCGTTCATCTTTGATTGGTCACCTCACCAAATGTGTGTG